TATTTTTTTATTTTATTTATTTTTCCATATACATTTGATGCGCTCCACAAAAAATGATGCTTAAGGCTTTGCCGATGGTGACGCTCATTGTAGGCAGTCGTTGTCCTGGCGACGAGGCTGATATAATTACATGTAGTGCCAGTTGCGAAGAAAACAAGGAGACAGCTCGTGCCAAATTCAGTTTGACGAATATGGAGCCTGGCAAGACTAAGTAAGTTAAATAAAAACTTTAAGTAACTTAAAGTATTTTCAAGTTCAATTTAAAGTACTTAAATTTTAATTTCTTCCATAATTGCTTTGCTCAGTTCTCATTATTTCTAGGGACTTAACAACTGAAATAGCTCTTCTTTTCTATTCACATTGGACATATTTGCTCCAATTTATGTTGAAAATGTTGATAATTTCAGTTGCTTTGTTTAATTTTGAAATTACAGCTTTTTGCTGATGGAAAAATTGCTTCAAACTGGGTATACCTGATAAGAGGGGACAAGTCAGTTTGTGTCCGGGCGACACATAAACTCAGTGCCACTGCATTGCTATTTCCTTTTATAAGTGCTCGCCCTTCTGAACATTTGCATTTTGAAGAGTTCCTTTTCAAATGTTTGCCTTTCCTTTGTCCTTTTGTTTGCGAAATTGTTGTATAGGGATTGCATAGAACGGAACTCAGTTTGTCTGTTGTGCAGTCAGTAGAAAATTTGGTAACAAAATTATTAAATGGTAAACTATGCATAACTGTATTTCGATAAGGTGCACAATTATGTTACACTGAAAAAAACATCATATCAAAATCGGGAATAATGTTGGCAATCCATAATTCGAAATTATAATATATAGCTATTTATGTAGCTATATATATATAGCTATTGTATAAGGCAGAATAATCCGCAAAAGAAATATTAGGTGTTATGGCATTCATATGGATTTCTAAGAATTTATAGAGAATTGTTAAAGAGGTTTCGAAAAGCAGTGAACTACAACAACAAAAATTCTTTTATATTATTTTAATTAATTGAATTTTTGGCTGACCATACAGCTGTTTCTAGTATTGCCAAATACCGATCATCAGTGGTCTTGGAATTATTGGAATTATCTATATTCAATTATTCGTAAATAATTTTTTGAGACTACAAGTACCAAGAGTCGAACTCGTATCCTGCCAAATTAGAAGCTCATTTTTAGATTTGTGAACGTAAAAAATAACGTAGATTAATGCAATGATCTGATCAAGCAATTTGAGTAATAATGAATTATATAGCAGCTGTATGTTGTCTTTATTAGTTTTGTATGACGGGTGATTTCATAAAAACTTTGGAATAATGACTTGGAATACTAATATTTGGCATACATCAGAACCCAATTATATTACTGCTGTAATTTTTAAAACCATTATCGCTAAATGGCTTTGTTTGTCTTTATAGTAGTGATTTACAAATTTCACATAATCGTAAGTAATACTAAGACTAAGTATAGCGCTTTTAAACGAACACTGGCGGGATCAGCAATTCTGTTGGGTCACAAACAGTCTATATAAAAGAATGTTCTTCATAGGAAAAATGCTACAATTAATTCAAATTTTCACATACGCACATCTTGATTTTTTTCAAGTGTACCTATATTAAAATTTTTGAAAAAGTTCTTATGAATGCACATTTGTCCACCAAAGGTAAAACCGTAGTGACTGAGTAAATAGCAAACAGGAAGTCAATGATATAAATACGCAAATTAAGAGTCTCAGTTTATCTGATGCCAGAAACAGAACTGATAAAAATGAAGTGTTTTCTCTGCTAAAATCTCACTTCAATATAAAGTCCTATGAAAAAAAACTAACCTTAACCTTTGACGTTTTAAAATTTGTGTAGCAGCACTCCTCCTGCAGCCACTCGCTGTGTTTATTAATCCATCACATTTACGTAATACCAGTGATGCTGTGAGGTAGTTTGCTGTGTATCTAGGTAAAATGTGTAATTCAATTTTACAGATGGGCAAACTACATCAAAGGAGTTATACACTATTACAGCAATAAGGTTCAGGGTTTTAAGGCAGTCATTGTGAGCAACGTACCCATTGGATCTGGTCTATCGTCCAGTGCGTCACTTGAGGTAGCTACGTTGACATTTTTGGAGCATTTAACAGGACGAAAAGTTGAAAGGTAAATTAAAATTACTTAATGCCTTCTTTTAATTTTAAAGTCTTTATTTTAATGGTTTTTTTATATATTTTTATTCTGGCTGTAGGTCCCTTCTTGTTAAATAATAAAACCTTAATATTTTTTATTAAACTCTATATGTCGATTCTCCTTGAAAGTCATCATCAGGATTCCGATCTATAAAGATAATTATAATAATTTATAATATTTGTTATGTATTCATTATTAATCATGAAAATTAATAACTAAATAATTATAATAGTTATATTAAAAATAGTTATAATTATTTTTATAGATCGTAATTCTGATGATGACTCTCGACGAGAGTCGAAATATAGAGTTTGATAAAAAATATTGAAGTTTTATTATTTAACAAGAAGGTTCCACAGTCAGAATAAAAGTATATAAAAAAACCATTTTAACCATTTTTATTTTAAAATTTGTGCCATTTATTTTTTTTGTAAAAATTAAATTTATACTTTAGTAACGCAAAACGTGCTTTAATTTGTCAAGCTGCTGAGCATAATTATGTAGAAATGCCTTGTGGTATAATGGACCAGACTATTTCCGTATGCGGCCAAAAGAACCATGCTCTGCTATTGGACTGCAGGTAAGATTAACTCAAAATAAATGTTTGAAATACAAATCATCATTCGTAGAAATTCATGAAAATCTGATATGAAGATCTTTAGGGAATAATATTTGGTCTTTTAAATAAATCATAGCTTAGGGGTGCATTTAAAATATTGAGGTTTCGTGAGGAAATGATTTCAAGACGAAATTGTTTATGGAGTAACTGTAAGAAAATATTTTTATATGTTAATAATTAGCACTCAAAAGAAAGAACAAACACTCATCCATACATTTAAAAGAAAAGAAAAAATCGTCAATAAAGGCGAAAACATATTTCAAATTCTCTTTACATAGGGTGTGGATTCTCTGGGTATGTCTGAAATAATTGATTTTACAATATATAATTGTAAATATAATATAATTTATATAATACAATTTAAATAATGTGAGTTATTTGTTAAAGTTATAAGTTTATGTTTGTAAATTTAAAAGTTGGTATGACATAATGACGTCAACATGACCAAACTGACCCAAACTCATGATATGAAAATCCAATAACTTAAGTAAATATTTCTTTATTTCCATATCTGGCTGGTATTAAAAGCAGTAGAGATTTAGAAAAACAATTAACATATACTCAAGGCTTACCATATCTAAATAGGCTTAACTTGGTTATTCTAACAAAAGAAGTCCTGGGTTTTGGATTTGAATAGATTTGTCAATAAATCAAATAAAAAGCTACTCTTTCAAATTCAATGATATGAGTCTAGTCGGCAATTTTGTTATAATATTTTAACAATCATTCCGCTATAATTACATTGAAATGATATATTGTAAATATAAGGTACTGGAAATTTTTTTGTTTTGATATGAAATTCTTTTTTGGAGTCCAATCTGTATGGAAGTTCTCATAACAGTTGTAAATAGAGTGAGAGTAAGTTTTAAGAAAATTGTTACCAAGAAAAAAAATGCTGTAAGTCCCAAAAATTTTGTGGGGGTAACAACACATAAAAATAATTTCTAATGGAATCACCTTCAAAGGGTGAAATTAGGAGTTCGGTATATGGTATTCTGGAAAAATGTTAAGCATTAAAAACTCATGGGCTATGTGATACATTTACTTTTTTAGGCAATTGCTGGGCTGTTAGGAGTCTTTTCATGGTATTACTTTTATTCGATTGCATCTAAATTCCAAATTAAGTTGTTTCGCATTAAAGGAAAAAATTAAGGGATAACTTCAGAAATTGCTTCTTTTCAGTTATGGGACAGGTCAAATATATTACACATGATGTGATTTGTTATCCTATAGGTAGCGGGTGTTAAAAAAAAATCACACACTGGGAAGGTGATAGTAGGGTGGTGTTACAAACGATGATGCTTACAGGGGTATAAAATTATAAAATGACCACGAAAAATTATTTAAAGTACAAAATTGTGTGAGTTATTGAATTTATACTGCTTAAATGAAAATAATAGAAGATAGAAGGGAATTCAGTTTAAATAAAAATATATTTCGATAGGCTACAAAGAATATAATTCGGCTCCGAATAGTTACTCAAAAAGGATGAATATGTTACTTTCTTCATGTAGATCACTTTCAAACTTTGAGCACATAATTATATAATTATTCCCTACAATAGAGAAGAGTAAAACTAAATGATATTTGGAAATCCTGTTTACCTTGTAAATGATAAAGAATATATAAGTTTATTTCAAACCTATAGTATCATCAGATGTAAGACAATATTGAACCAGAATGTGAGTACAAATTTGTCATTGGTTATACCAAGAGTGCACTGTATATGCGTCATTGTTTTAAAAATCGTACAGTTTGCAAAATTCGGAAAGAATATCAAAATTATTTCCTGAAATACGGGTCTTGTAATTTTATGAAATTAGATTTTCCCAAAATCCGTCCCGATTTGTAGGAGATTCACCCATATACACACAAATTTAAAAATTTTCTTAAACTATAAATTGATTGGAATTCAATGATTAATGATTTCTCCAATTCTTATAATAAAAGAGTAAATAATGATTGTTTAATGACGGTCTACCGGTCTACGGTTCATTGGATTAAAAATTATAATTATAAAAAAATTATTGAAAATATATTTGTATAGTAGTATCACATCAACGATATTGAAGTATATTTTCTGTTTTAGAGACTTATAATTTGTTTATGTTTACGATGCATATCGAACCTTTTGTATACGAGTTAAATAGAAATTTTTCATAGTTATGCAAAATACTATGTATATAAGAGTATATATAAAAAAAAAGTCCTGTCCTTAGCAGAATACACCAAATATTAAAACACTATAAGCAAAAAGCTGCGAATATTATACTCGGTGCTTTCTGATTGAGCAAAGCAATGATAATATCCTTTCTGTCAGAACTTCTGCAACAAACACTTGCCATCATTTTTCAAGTTCCTTTTTAGAGCAGAAATTACATTGAATTAGAAATTCTTTTTATTTTTAAATTTGTCACGCAAACTTGAATAAAATAAAACGAAGCCCGACTATGAAAAGAAATTTGCACGCGACCCAAAACTGTCAAACAAATAAAAAATGTTCTGAACAAATTCGCCTTTGTTGGGAGCCGATGTAGTACTTTTGCAACAGTTCCTGATTCTATTTTATTTCTGCAATGTTGACGACGTAACCGCTGCACCATACACAAAATGTCAGGAACATGAGAGAACTTAATATTCAGCGGCGTAAAAAGGCAAATTTGTGATGATATTATTTCTTTTATTTATTTTGGCAACGAGCAAACTTCCAAGTTTCTTATAGTTTTCCAAAAAACTACAATGGCATTTTTTATATAATACGAGTACATAAAAAGGATGCACATATTTTAAATTAAATTTTTATATTATATATGTAGTGAAGTCAAAGAATACTAGAACAAATATTTAGAAATTTATGAAGGAACTTTATCACTATCTAATTATAAGTAAGTAATTGCATTTGTCTTTGTATTGTTTTTGCTAGAATTCCTTATATTATGTGACTTTTATTTATTTGTTCCGAATTATATATCCGCTCTTTATACTCTCGTTTCAGTAATATGTAGTTCCTTACATTTGAACCTATTAAATATTTTCGTCAGAATAATATATAAATATATATGCAATTTGCTCTCAAAATAAATTAGGATATCAAAAAAATGCTGATGTAGTTTTTTGTTATAAACAGACGTAGTCTTAAAGAGTTACAACTTACAAATATCGGCTCTGAAGATGAGTAAGGAGTAATATGAACTAACATCACGTCTGAAAACAAATGCCAATAATGCTACATCGATCATCATTAAAGACTAAATTAAAATTGCGAAATAACTTAAAAACATCGTTTATTATTAAAGGAGATTTAATGGAATGCAGAACAATTTGAGTATTTACGTAGTACTAGCGTCGAATGGTGGTAGAACAGTCGATTGGTAACAACACATTGTGGAATCTATTTTAAGAATGTTTAGAGAAGTGCTGGAATACAGTTACAGATTAGACTCTATTACACATTTTTGAACAAAAAAATTATACTAATAATGTAGGGCCCGTACCGTGATGTAAGTGAGACTGTAGAAGAATAAACAATTAGGAGGTTTGTGATATATCTATAGAAGAAAATGTGATGAGATTCATAAAAATGTAATGTCTTGCGTGTATAATGCCTTAAGAATAGTGCAGATAAGAAATAGATCTGCGCAAGGATAGTTCTACCATAGGTGACTCGACTGTATAGTGGAAGTCATATGAAAAATGCAAGCAGCAAACTGGAAGTAAGTAGCAGTAGAAAGAATAGTATGGAGGACATACACAAATTATATGTGGGTGAAAATATATTAAGTTTGAGTCACCATAATTTCCGAACTCATGTTAACAACATTTGTTAGGCATATAATATATATAAAGGATTTAAAATTTTTATACAACTTGAGCTGATTGGTTCTTTTGTGCTTCTCTAGGGGATTTTTTGTCCACATGTTTTTTCGGGTGAAGTCTTTTATATGGCCTATTTCTTGGTAAATATTATTAATAGACAAGCTCTATTTCAATCGATGGTTTTATTACTGGGCCAAAATAGTCTTCTCCGAAAAGAATACACTATAACCCGAAACAACCTGTATATTAGATTGCTAGTGCCAAGGATATTTAGAAAAACGTACAGGTGTTATTATAACTGCTGATCATTCTTCAACTTATTGACACATTTCCTTATTAAGAAATATTATGAAATGATATTTATAAGAAATAAAATTATGCTTTGAAGCGGCTACTTAGGTTGTAGTTATCTTTCATAGTCTTAGTAGGTATATAAGGCTATAAACACTTTGCAAACTCCGTTATTGTTCTTATTTTATTTATTATTTATTATTTTAAGTTTATTTTAAAGTTTGTGAAAATAAGTATAAGTAACGTTTAAACCTTCTACAATTTTAATACATAATAATAACTACGTATTTATACATACAAAGCAACTTCTGTAGTTTCCTCTTAAATAATAATCTCATATATAAAGCTGCTAATTATGTCTCATTAGTTTCAATATGTGAATTATGTATCTTTTTTTCCTTTATAAAATTTAATTTAATTAGTTTCGTCAGTTGCAAATAATGCATTCCCATTCATATTATGCAGTTAAACCAAGTGTGTGTACAAAAAAGTTTAGGTTTTATTAGTTGAAAAACTCCAATAGTTTATTTGCTTTTTGATAAAAAATGGACACTTGGTAGGCAAATTACGAGTATTATTTTAGTAGTTCAGGTGAAGGAAGAGCAGTAAGGTTACTTTTACAAATGGCATCCAAGTTTGTCTGGGGTATCTAACCCCACTTCATCATTTTCATACAATAAACTTAATTTACAATGCCTTGCCTTGCCTAATGGTATGCACATACAAAGCAAGGATTACCGGAGCAAATGGTAAGGACATTTTACATTCAATAGTATAAAGTTACAGTTGCAAAAGCTTAATTGAAATAGTGGGTTTGGTAAAGAATAGCAAGTGATACTATTGTTTTCAAAATTCAAACACTGATATAAATGGCAGATGGCCTGCACAAAAACCAGAAAGCAAAAAATATTTGGTAACTATTTCGTTAGCGCTGCATTTGCTGTCTAGGTGCAACTTTTCAACTTCAGATAGCGCACATACTCCCAACGCTGAGTATAAATATTTGAGGCTTTCATTCTGCAATCATACTCAGCTCATATGCAAACTAATGCATTGTTCTATTCCATATATGGTTGGTATATGTGGGGGCTTATAGTAATCCCCAGACACATCATTATATTCAATTTGAATTTTATTTCATTACAAAATTGCATACAAATTATAGAGAATGAACCGTTGGATTTGGTTGAGCAGCAGTACCAGTTGCTGATTTAAAATAAGTTTTGTTAATCCTTTTAATTGCAGATCGTTGGAAACATACCAAATTCCATTTGTTGCCAGTGAAAAAGACCTCGTGGTTCTAATTTGTAATTCAGGTGTGCGGCATGAGTTATCAAAGAGTGAATATCCAAAAAGGCGCGCACAATGCATGCAGGCACTCGAGTTAATGGCGCTGAAGAGCTATAGAGACGCAACAGAAAGCAGCTTGTCAGGTAATTAATGCATTTACTACATCTACATCCACCTTTGCTAGAGCCAGTGCTAGTGCCAGTGCCAGTGCCAGTGCCACTGCTACTACCACTGCATCTGCCGTTTAAGTGCTGCAGTTAAGACGATTCTCATTGTGTGAGTTTGTCATTTTGTCTTAAATTCTGGTGTTCACTGGCTTTTGTACATGGCAATGCACAGTGAAGTACTAAATATGCAAAATGCCTTGTTTGCTTCTTGTTGAAGTGGTGAAAACACTTCAGACGTGCCAAGAGGTGATGTCTAAGAAAACGCTCACACTTTCGGTAAAGTGATGCTACCAATTTAAACTTGTTGTTGCTTACCTATAAGTTGCATAAAGTTGACCTGAAGTGAATTCTTGACAATTTTCCACACACACACACACACACACACATCTACGTAAACATCGAGTTTTTCAAATCTTTTTTTTACTTTGAATAAGATACAGGGAAAGTTGTCTTGACAGATTATCTTAAGAGATTGAAGAAGCTTTTCAAAGGTAAATTGTTTAACTAACGATTTTAGTATCTGTTCTGTAATGCAGTGTTAATTTTAATTTAATTGATTTAAATATACTAAATTCAATTATTTTAATGTTCAATTAATTAATTAATTAGTAAATTACTTAGGATAATTTGTAATTGTTAAGTCTGAAAAAATCACTAAATCTTGGTGATAAAAATTCTAAAACTAATCCACAACATCATTTAGTATTTAAATGAATCATATACACATTGAAAATGCACTCATTACTAAGCACATTTACTTTCGTCTTCGCCTACTTATAGAAACACCGCAAACCCATAATTACCTAGCAAAATTTCAATTTATATTCATTTAATTGCAATCTATTATTATGATTAGGGGTTAAGATGCACGGCTACCACAATGCATCTGTTCTGCGTATTTGCAAACAAACAAATTCATACAGTACGCAAAACAGCATTGTTGTTGTTGCAAATTTGTTGGTTTTTCTTTTATGTATAGTGCAATTGTATGGTTGGTTTTTATTCTGTCAGAAATATATTTTACGCAGCAATGAATACCGAGGACAAGTAATAAAAATAAAACCACAACTAATAATGAGAATGCCAACACCAAAGATAAAGAAATGAAAAAAGGTTCTAATAATAGACCTGAACATTTTAGTTAAATCCTATAGGCGCAAATAAATATTTATATTTTTGTTGAACTTAACAATAAAATATAAAGAGTATTTTAAAAGCAAGTAGCATAATTTTACAACAGAAATCGTGTTCTTATAATGAAATTGCATAAGGAACTGGCGCCATCTTCAAATTTAGCTCAAAATGTCCCCTGCGGATGGGTCTCCCGATTACCCTTCTTGCTCTCGTACGTTGTTTAAGCGGTGCCTGATGACTAGCAAAGCATCTTTGCGTTATGTTTAGATTGGGTGGCTCAAAATTCATTATCATAAATCATGATAGATCCTATTTGTGCTTTGCAGGTTTTTTTTTTTAAATTTTTATTACACAACACACAACCATAATGCGCTTATTCTGCAAATTGCTTTATCATCTATACTAAGTTCTTCATTTAAAATTGAAACGAGGTACTTTAATTTGTGGATAGCTGTTCTTAGATACAGATCAATGTTTCAATTAATATAAGTAGAAATAATCCGTTCGGTTTTATATTTATTTGTATTTTATTGATAACTAAGATATGATTTCAGTTGCTTAGTTTCCATTCCAAAGTATCAAACTAGTATCAGCACAGTGTCATTGGATTAAAGAATGTACCATGCTATCTTGTGGTAGATGTATGCTGTGAAGAGATCCATGATTCATGACGTCAATTGGGCGTGCGTATGTTTTGCTTTTGTATGTTGTTTCCAGATCTATAAAAATCACGTCAATGTTTTCCTTTTTTTTTGACACTTTTCAATTAGATCAACGATTGAGTGAACAGCATTCATTGTTATGAGACTTTAAAGCTTTAATAATTTATATGAAGCAACAGTACATTTTCATGTTGCTTTATAAAAGGCGCAAGCTATATAAAAATTGTAGTAGATCAGAGAACTTTGTATATTGTTACTTTAGTTTTTTTATTTTATTTTCATTTGTAAAAAGTTTTATTGCAATTTTTGGTTTAAAACTTAACTTTGACTGTGTGACGGAGACAATTAAAATGCTGTCACCCCCCTTTTTGTATTAGTCCCAATAAAAAAGGAGGCTGGCTAAATCTTTTGAATTGTTTATACCTTTTCCATCCTTTGCCTTTTTAGTGTTTTTCTTTTTCCGATTTTTCTGACTTTTTACTAAAAGCTTTCTAGGATATTTTTCTAATTTTCTTATGGTTTATATTTTTTGACACTGATTTTCTTTTACAAAATTTGTTGCTTCATGTGGGCGTCTCAGTTACATGTCAAAGCATGTTTCTAACGACATAACCTTTCACCATCCTACTTCTGCTTTTTGTATCTTTTCAGTTTGTCTACTTTATTTTGATGTATGAAAAAGTACGTTTCATATAATTACTCTTCATAGTTGATTGTGGCGTCATTTATCCTGCAGCGTTTGCTTTACACTAACAAACACAATTTCGTTCACATGTGTTGACACACGCTTTTCAAATTCATTTCATTGACGCCTGTAACTCTGTTATAGATACTTTTGAAACAGCAAGATACCAAGTGCAAACAGAAATGCTTTCAAAGATATTTATTTATTTATCCACAATAGTTCAATGTGCCCGGGGCTATGTCTGTCTGGTGCAAATGTAATATTACTCTCATTTGGCGTAATTATTTTCCAAACTAAATCAAAAAATTTACTGATATAAATTTTTTGAGTATCCACAACTGCGAAATATATCTCTTATTCTATATTCGAAGTAATTTCACTAATTGTTCTGAAATAAATTTTTAACTGACTTCGTCCTAAAAAAGTGCAACAAGAAATTTCAGTTTCTTAATTACTTTTTAATAATTTATGAAACATTTTCGTGTTTGGCAACTTCGAAGAAAGAAGCGAGTTAAAGTTTTCTATCCTTTTTGTTAGAATTTTAATTAGAGATGGTAATTCCGTCAGCATGGAATTTTAAATGGATTTTCGTGAAGTCCATTTTCAAGAGACAGCAAATGTTAAAATTCCTACACGAGTTAGTGAATTCATTCATTATTTTTTTTTCATAATCAATTTTTTTAAATGGACTGCTGTTTAAAATTTTAGGTTTTTACTGCTTAAATAAATCATTTTTCAGCTCTGTGAATTATATAAACAAAACACAACTATTGAGTTTGATAAGAATAGAAAGTAATTCATTTAGTCATTTCTGATTCAACAGCCCTGTTTTAATTCTATGCTAGTATGTTAAACAGATCCATCACTCAAGCCGTCGTATGTTCAATACAGGGTTTGTCATTTTACAATTTTGTTTATTTAACATCACTGAACGTATTAAAAGTATTCTCATATCAAGTGTTTCGATAAAGATTTAGGCATCAAATTTTTTTATGAAATAATCTTCTTTGCTTCGTGGATCTGGTGCAGTAAAAATTCCAAGGTAAATACCAAAAAGCCATTGCATTAATAAAAATGTTCGAAATGATGCTACAAATGGTACATCTTTTTTTGAAAATGTCAGAAGTGCGTCAGTAATTCTTGCTAGCTAAAGCTACATGATTACCAATTTATTTTAGTGAGAAAATGAACATATGGAAGAAGAAATTGAGATATGTGGGGTTTAACAAGTTATGTAAATTGGCCATGAAAACCATACGATGTGTCACTTAGGGACTTATTATGTAGAATAATGTAAATGATCATGTTTATGCGTACGATCCTCACACTTGTATTGTTTATAAAATTAAATCGTATTAATTATGGTCTTATTATAACCAGCTACCAGCTATAAACAGTATACAACTCATCGAATATTACATCAAAAGGATCCAGTAGATGTTGTTATATTGCACAACTATTGACTAGGTCCTAATAATATAGTGTATCTTACTTTCGTCAACCTAATGTGGCGAGGGTTGGCTTCAATGAGCATTATGATTACGTTATTGGCTATAGAAAAATGGAATGTTTTTAGGAGAGGGGGTAATTGTTAAATAAAAATAAAATGATTCAAAATATTGTTGCGTACGTTCCAAGATTAAGTAGTTTCTGGGCTAACCACACAGGTGTTATTTCATGATATCTAGTCATGAAATCGACATTATCATTGACCTTTGGAAGCATCTATTGATTGAATTGCCCATATATAATTTTTGGACTGTAAGTGCAAAAACACAATACTTGTGTTAATACACAAAGCACTTAAGTCGCGTTACTCAAATTTAGAATTCTATTAATTTTACTTACTGTGTTTCTAATAGAATCAACGCATAAACAACCGCTATATATATCATTTTAATCATTATCATTAATCATAATTCTTTAAACTTCAACAATTTTGTTTATAGTAAATATTTCTCTGTATTTACTTTAGATTGTTTGCATTTTAAACATACAATTTACAATTTTAGTTAATAGATATTTGTCCAATAATGTGGGGCAATTAATTGTAAACATAATTTCATTAATTTGCTTTAAGAGAAATAATGTGAGGCAATTATATTTAAACATATAATCAATATTTTGGTAATCATTTCATATTTATATATTTTTATTTGAACACTCACTATGATTGTGTAAATTATATTCATATACACAGTTTGAATGAAAAAAATATGGTTTTTGCATTATATAAGTGAATATAATACGTACAGTATTATATATGCAGGGCTTTATTATACATTTATTTAATGGCTTATTCTAGTTATGGTTGATTATTATGTAATGACTAACTTATTCATATGGACCTAGCGATTAAACATAATGATCGAAGTGTTGGTAAGATAGTTCTTCAGTACATTTACAGTATTATACGCCATTTATGTTTGCATAAAACTTTATACATTTAGATAACTTAGTTCCTTTGTGACTTTTTACTAAAGTAAATAATCTAAATTGATTTGTGCGAACTTAATTCAATTACAATTTATTTGTTGTTGATTTGATTTTACTAACTTATTTAAAAATATTTCTTGAAATTGATATTTGCTTCCGTTAAACCTACGTAATATTAGCTGATATATGTTTTGCATTTTATATGTATAGTCTCTAAAAAACAAATCCATATTCTCTTACACCAGAAAGCTGGTGAAAGATTGTTTTTCCATAAATAAGAAATAAGACGTTTCTTAACTTTAGTTGGTTTATCTTGAAATTGGCGAACAGAATGTGGGAATAAACATAGTAATATGTAATTTTCATGTTTTTATTAGGAACGATATTAGACCTATTAATTTCAATGACCAAAAAACACAATGGCAAAATAGATTTAATTTCTAAAAATGACTCACACTTGAATTAATGACGCATAAGTATACTTTTACTACAATCATCGTTTTTTGTATATAAAAGTTAAAATAAAAAGTGAATTTTGCTGCAGTTTGAATATTGCATTGCATAAACACTTCTGGAGAGTTTAACACAACAATTAAAGCCCTACATGGCCTGTAATTCTGTAAGTCTACTTGAATTTTTAAATGGCGTTGAAAAATTAAACATGTACAAAACAATCTTTAATCTGCATTTAAATTTAAAAATATTAAATATTCTGTAGTCATCAACAAAGCACTTGATACTTCTGTTTGCACTGCACTCTGTTCCACACTTTTTACTTCCGCTTTGCTTGTGCATTCAAGCACAAAATGTGCAATCTCACATCATTTGATTGCGCATATTTTCTAGTGAAGCCACTTATGAAGATACTCCACATTTTTCATTTAAGCTTTTGGTTGGTTAGTTGGTTGGTGCGATAACTTTTTTTATGTTCCTGCCATTTTTCGACGCAGTTTTCGTTGACTTCATCGTTCTGTTGAATATCCTCATTGTCACTTTGGCAATTATGGCAAACAGCTTTACGAGTGCCAGAAATTAAAATGATGATGATGACAAGCATGAGTTGTTAGCTCTAATACCAGATGCTGTGAGATGTTCGCCTTCCAGCTTCCCTTTTTGTATTACGAATGCTTTCTTCTCAGATATTTGTTTTATTATTCGGCAGTAACATTTTCATGTGATTTCAAACCAACTCCGTCAACAGAGATATTTTATCTTCGATAGATAGAGTTATGAGGTCTTCAGGTGTGACAACGAAAATGTCATTTCATATTGACATGGAACGAAAGACATGTCAGCACTTTTTACCAAGTTAATACATAAAAATAGAAAATTCTTAAAAAGATCAAAAACTATTTCATCTTTCATTTAAGTATTTTGCGGTAAACCATGAAATAAATTTAGTCCACGAATGCTGCATGAATTTAGTCACT